AAGTAAATTGGTAGACTTGTTTGCAAAATATTTTCTGTCATGTAATATCTAAATTGAATGCTTGGAGCAATTTCTAAATTCGCTACAGCCATTGAGACGGCCTGTCATTTACGTGTCAATCCATCAAAAAGTTCCATTGATGTATCCTGTCAATACGAAACGAAAAACAGTACACAAATATTGATGGCAAAGGAGGGGTACTCCCAAAAACGTGTGCAAATACCAATACCCATAGATTGCAAATATGTACTGTACCCACACATATACACATTGAATAAATAGTTATTGCTATTGTTATATCCTCTACGATAATGTGGAGAGTATACCAAGTTTGTCATGGTATTTATACCCTACACCACATAGTGGTAAGGGTATTATGTTTTATTGTGCATTTGTTTGTAACATGGAGAACGAAGCAAGATAGACCCATAGCTACTTTTGAGGATCTTTATGGAATCTCTTTCTGAGTCGATGTATGCATATCAGTCTTTCTGTTCATTCGTCCGCCCGTCTGTCTGTCCATGTATTTTTGTGAACAAAATGCAGGTCGCATTTATTATCCGATTGAAATGAACAATATTTGTTTGGCCCAAGGACGAATCCTATGGAAATTGGCGCGAATCGCTTCAAGTTTAGATATAGCTCCCATAAATATCTTCAACAGATTTACCTTAATTAAGCACCAAATGGGCAATATTAGTCCAAATACCCTGAATTTTATCACATACAAGCGTATTTAGACTAGAAGCAAGAACATCAAATTTGATGGAAATCGGTTTAGATATAGCTATAGCTCCCATATATATGTTCCATCCGATTTGGAATTTTAAGTCCAGTACATGCGTGATATGCGTTCCATAACAATAATATTTGTTAGCAGATATCATATACAGCTCAGAAATAAGTGTTTAAAATTTTGTCAAGATCGGTACAGACTTGGATATAGCTCCCATATATATCTTTATTCGATTTCAGGTTTATTTTACACCAAATGGCTAATAGCTGCCCAAATGTACTGAATTTTGGCTCTTCCGGCGGAATTCATCCTAGAAGCAAGTACTTTAAATTTTGGTGAAAATCGGTTCATATGTAGCTATAGCGCTGTTAGAACTTTGTTAAAGGCTTCATCTATAGGGTAGCAAAAATTCGTCTCGCCCCCAAACATAATGTAATTTCTACTTGTTGTTATTACTGTTCTTATTGCCTTGTTTTACCTTGGAATACGAAAAGTAATGCCTACAATTTTTTTTTTTTTTTTTTGTACAATTTAGTTAATAGTTTTCGGCATAGCTTACAACAAATTTAGCAACAACAACAACCGTCCATTCAATATTTTTCTTGAACACCAAAAACAAATACATGACCTTCAGTTACATAATTCCTAAGACACTTTTGTATTCGCAGTCTCAATTTCTAGGCAAATAAATTAAGGAAGTTATTAGAAGGTTTACTAAATAGCCAGGAAAAACAAACAGTTCACGTTTTTTGTTTGTCAAACTGGGTGTTATTCCTTTTTTTTTTTTTTTGGTGGGTAAACTGACTTCTCGCATTCCAGATAATGCATAATGGTTGGATGTCAATCATTAGAAAGGGAGAAAGTTAAATAGAGGGAGTTAAAATGTTATTTATACCTCAAATTAATAACTTAATATCGTTGGAGTAGTCACTTTCTTGCTACAAGTTAAGGGTCTCCAGGGACGAGTTGGAGATTGCCTCTATAGAGGAGCTGCAGGGAGTCCTATGGACGAGCTGCAGAGAGTCTCTATGGACGAACTGCAGATAGTCTCTATAGGGGAGCTGCAGAGAGTCTCCACAGATAAGCTGCAGAGAGTCTCCAGAGACGAGTTGCAGAGAATATCCAAAGACGAGCTGCAGAGAATATCCAAAGACGGGCTGCAAAGAGTCTCCATAGACGAGCTGTAGATGGTCTCTACATACGAGCTGTAGAGAGTCTCTATAGACGAGCTGTAAAAAGTCTCTATAGACGAGCTGCCGGGAGTCTCCATAGACGAGATGCAGAGAGTCTCCATAGACGAGATGCAGAGAGTCTCTATAGACGAGCTGTAGAGAGTCTCTATAGACGAGCTGTAGAGAGTCTCTATAGACGAACTACCGAGAGTCTCCATAGACGAGCTGCAGAGAGTCTCCATAGACGAGCTGCAGAGAGTCTCCACAGACGAGCTGCAGAGAGTCTCCACAAACGAGCTGTAGAGAGACTCTCTGCAGCTCGTCTGTGGAGACTCTCTGCAGACGAGCTGTAAAAAGTCTCTATAGACGAGCTGCCGGGAGTCTCCATAGACGAGATGCAGAGAGTCTCCATAGAATAGCTGTAGAGAGTCTCCATAGACCAGCTGTAGAGAGTCTCTATAGACCAGCTATAGAGAGTCTCTATAGACGAGCTGTAGAGAGTCTCTATAGACGAGCTGTAGAGAGTCTCTATAGACGAGCTGTAGAGAGTCTCTATAGACGAGCTGTAGAGAGTCTCTATAGACGAGCTGTAGAGAGTCTCTATAGACGAGCTGTAGAGAGTCTCTATAGACGAGCTGTAGAGAGTCTCTATAGACGAGCTGTAGAGAGTCTCTATAGACGAGCTGTAGAGAGTCTCTATAGACGAGCTGTAGAGAGTCCCTATAGACGAGCTGTAGACAGTCTCTATAGACGAGCTGTAGACAGTCTCTATAGACGAGCTGTAGAGAGTCTCTATAGACGAGCTGCAGAGAGTCTCTATAGACGAGCTGCAGAGAGTCTCCACAAACGAGCTGTAGAGAGACTCTCTGCAGCTCGTCTGTGGAGACTCTCTGCAGACGAGCTGTAAAAAGTCTCTATAGACGAGCTGCCGGGAGTCTCCATAGACGAGATGCAGAGAGTCTCCATAGAATAGCTGTAGAGAGTCTCCATAGACCAGCTGTAGAGAGTCTCTATAGACCAGCTATAGAGAGTCTCTATAGACGAGCTGTAGAGAGTCTCTATAGACGAGCTGTAGAGAGTCTCTATAGACGAGCTGTAGAGAGTCTCTATAGACGAGCTGTAGAGAGTCTCTATAGACGAGCTGTAGAGAGTCTCTATAGACGAGCTGTAGAGAGTCTCTATAGACGAGCTGTAGAGAGTCTCTATAGACGAGCTGTAGAGAGTGTCTATAGACGAGCTGTAGAGAGTCTCTATAGACGAGCTGTAGAGAGTCCCTATAGACGAGCTGTAGACAGTCTCTATAGACGAGCTGTAGACAGTCTCTATAGACGAGCTGTAGAGAGTCTCTATAGACGAGCTGCAGAGAGTCTCTATAGACGAGCTGCAGAGAATCTTCACAGACGAGCTGCAGAGAATCTTCACAGACGAGCTGTAGAGAGTCTCAACAGGCAAGCTGCAGATAGTCTCAATGGGCTAGCTGCAGGAAATCTCTATAGACGAGTTGCAGAGTGTCTCCAAAGACGAGCTGCAGAGAGTCACCAAAAACGAACTGCACAGAGTCTCCAAAGACGAGATGCAGAGAATCTCCCCCGACGAGCTGCAGAGAGTCTCCATAGACGAGCTGCAGTTGTAAATAGTCTCTCTAGGCGAGCTACAGGGAGCTTTGGGGATCTCTGCAGAAGACCTTTACGAAGTCTTTAGATATGACCTGGATGAAATCTTTGTAGACAACCTGCGAGGTAACCTGGAGACCCTTTGAAGTAGGTGTTCTCCTGAAAGTCTTTATAGAAAAGCTGCTGGAAGTCACCATAGACCAAAGGCGAGCTGTAAATAGTCTCTCTAGACCAGCAAGAGGGGGCTTTGGGGGTTTCTGGAGAAGACCTCTACCAAGTCTTTAGATATGACCTGAATGAAATCTTTGTAGACAACCTGCGAGGTAATCTGGAGACCCTTTGTAGAAAAACTGGGAGATTCAGGTTAGATGACCAGATATTCGATCTGTATCAGATCGATAGCCTGTCTCCATGAATATCACTAGGTCTTCTTCAAGAACATCTGTAGGTATTCTCCTGAATGTTTTGTAGATCTTCTACCTTAAGATCCGCACATTTTCCATCTGTTGAAGATCTGTAGGCAGTCCGAAAACAGATCTATATTCTCCTCTTAGAAGATCTATATATCTTATAGAAAATCTGTAGATATTCTCCTAAAAGATCTGCACATCTTCTGCTCCACGTCCTTTTCTAGAAGATCATTAGATATTTTCCCTGAAGATGTGTAAATCTTCGATCTGTAGACAGTCCCAATAAATATCCGTAGATCTTGTCCTAATTTATCTGTAGGGTTTCCCCTGGAGGCTCTATAGACTGTCTCGAAGATCCACTTCTCTTAGATCTGTAGATCTTCTTTTACAAGTTCTATAGATCTTTTTTAGGTGATCTGCAGATTTTCTCCCTTAACATCGTTCTATAGAAGATCTGTAGATCTCGTCCCATAAGACAAGAAATTCTTCTAGAAGTTCTGTAGATCTTTTCCATGAAGATACCTTCTCCTCTTGAGTTTTCCCTATCTGTAGATTTTCTTCCTGAGGATTTGTAGATTCTTATGTCTCGAAGAGATCTCCTTCCAATAGATCTGTAGGTCTTCTCCTGGCAGTAGAAGGTCTCTAGATGTTCTCCTAGTTGATCTGCATGTTTTCTCCTAAAATAGCTCTAGATCATCACAAAGAATATCTGTAGATCACTTCTAAAAAATCTGTATATCTTCGATCTGTAAATAATCCCAATATGTTGGTCTACTCCTGAAATGTCCGTAGATCTCCTCCTTAAAGTCCTTCTCCTTTAGATCTTCTCCCTGAACATTTGCAGACCTTCACTCAGTAAAAGATCTGTAGACCGTCTCTGAGGAGATATGTAGTTCTTCTCCTGGAAGTTCGGAAATATCTTATGAATGTTTTTTCGACATTCCAAAATTTGTTCTCTTTCACGAAACATTCTAAGTATGACTCTCGCAATATTATTCGGAATTTTTCCTGAACCTTGCTTTTTTAATGTCAAAATTATTTTATAATTAAAAAAATATCATATTGCGTATACATATATATTTTGTATCAAAAAAGCTCTCTTTAACCATATTCTAAGAAACCTAATCTCTTGGAACATACACGCCCAAAAGAGCATGCCATCAGCAAAGCAAAAAACATCGGTCTTCGCAAAAAATCAATCCAAATCTGAATTTTTCCATGAAAGCAAGTCCAACTCCAAATTATCTTCATTTTCATCCTCTTCGAATGCCTCGCCACTGTCCTCAGAAACATCGCTTTCAAATTATGAAGAAGATGAACAGGAAAAGATAGACTTTTTTCAAGATTTCTATGAAACCGATAGCGAATCCCTGGAGGAAGAGGAACCTGTCCATCTCAGCCGTCCAACATTGGAAGCAAAGGTTGAGTTTTTAAAAGATTTTGCTTCAGTTCCTGATTTAGACAAAATATCCGAGGAAGTTAGTACCAAGGTCTCGATAACGAACACTACAAAAGCTGAATATCCTACTCAGCAGCAAAGTGATGTGGGATATTTTGCGGATCCATTAACGGGAAACAGAATACTCTCCATTTCTTCTGTGTCAGTTGTAAAGAAGGAGCTGCCAAAGTTGGAAGATGACAAAAAAGGCAGTTTTGCTACATTTTTGGAATTGGAAGAAATGGATGTTGAAGAGGAAGCCGATGAAATAGAAGATTTGGTTTTGGATTTTAATCAGGAAGAAGATAAAGATTTAAATAACCCAATCGATGAGGAGAAGGCCTTAGAAACTTTCTTTGAAATGGAAATGCAAAAACAGACTTCAGCTACCGATCACAGTATCGATTGGGAGGCCATTTTGAAACAACAACAACAGCAACATCTCTGCGAATCAATTTCAAAACTTCTTAACGATCTCATTGATAAAGTTGTGGAATCCGCAGAATATATAAACCCCGAAGTTATGCTACGTAAAAATTTAGACAAACATAAATTGATATCGGAAATTTCCAAAACAGTACGCCAAAGAAATGTTGAGCGTAGCGTTTGTGAGTTTCTCAATCGTAAAGTTCTTGATTATTTTAAGCGTAAAAAAATATTTCGCTCCATTATGCCGGATAGCAAAAGATATGCTGGATTGGAAATGCGCAAATATTACCAAAATATCCAACATTTGGATGATTTATTGGCAAAGGAAGCCAGTGTTAAGTTGATGGCGCTGCAGACTAAACAGAAATTGGAGAATGATCTGAGCGAAGCCAGAGAGAGAAGTGAGCGGATGGTAGCAGAGTTGGAGAATGTGATGAGAAGGAGTTTATATTGTGAAACGCGTCCCAGGTGTAATGTGGTGAGTTGGGAATTTGGTTAAATGCTCTTGAAATACCTCTGGTGGAGGTTCTTCCAAATGATCGAAAATTTCGAATTTTGGGTTGATTTGAGCGTAAAATCGGATGAATATGTATATCGAAGGTATATACAAATCTGAACCGATCTTTATAAAATTTGGCAAAGATATTTTCGAGTAGTATCTGATGCCCGGCATCAAATATCATTGTTGTGGAGTGCATATTACGCATGCTAGGGACTTCAACACCCCAAATCGGATGAATCAAATTTGAAGTGCTTGTTTCTAGACTGAATTCGTTCGGATGTGCCAAAATTCAGTCCATTCGGGCTAATACTAGCCATTTGGTGCACAAAAACCTGAAATCGGATAAAAATATATATGGGAGCTGAACCGATCTTGACAAAATTTGACAGAGGTATTTTTGAACTTCATAAGTTATCTGGTACCAAATATCATTGTTGTGGAGTGCATATTATGCATGTGCGGGACTTAAAACCCAAAATTGGATGAAATATATATATATGAAAGCTATAGCTACATTCGAACCGATTTTCTCCAAATTTGATGTACATACTTGCTTCTAGACTGAAGTCTCCATAGACTAAAGGCGAGCTATAAGTGGTCGCTCTAGATCAGCTAGAGGGGACTTTGGGGGTTTCTGGAGAAGACCTTTACGAACTCTTTAGATATAACCTAGATGAAATCTTTGTAGACAACCTGGGAGGACCCCTGGAGACCCTTTGTAGAAAAACTGGGGCATTCAGATTAGATGACCAGATATTCGATCTGTAGCAGATCCATAGTTCATCTCCTAAAAGATCTATCTCTTCTCCCTTAACATGTTTAGGTCTTTGATCCGTCGACAGTGTTAATGAATAAATCTTTTCCTAATTGATATGTGGGGCTTCTCCTGAAGGCTCTATAGATTTTCTCCTAGAAAACTAATCTTCTTCTTATAAAAGTTCTGTAGATCTTCTTGTAGATGATCTGCAGATTTTGTCCCTGAACATCCGTAGATCTTCGATCTAAACAAATATCGGTAGATCTCATCCCGTAAGATTAACGGGCTTCTCCTGAAAGTTCTGTAGATCTTCTCCATGAAGATATGTAGACCTTCTCCTCTTGACTCTCTCTTAGAAGATCTGTAGGCCCCTGAGGATCTGAAGATCTTTCACCAGAAGATCTGTAGAATTTCGATCTGTAGACAGTCTCGAAAAGATCTACTTCCAATAGATCTTCATTTCATCTACTTGAAGTTTTGTAGATGTTCCTCTAGAAGGCTCTAGATATCCTCCTCGTTGATCTGTATGTCTTCTCCTAAAATAGCTGTAGATAATCTCATAGAATATCTGTATTGGATGAAAAATATACATGAAAGCTATAGCTTCATTGGAACCGATTTTCTCCAAATTTAATGTACTTGCTTCTACCCTGAATTCGGTCGGATGAGCCAACATTCAGGTCATTTGGATTGATATTGACCGTTAAATGTATGGGAGCTATGTGTAAATTTGAACCGATTCTCACCAATTTCAATAGGGTTCGTCAATGGGCCAAACAAATATTGTTCAGAACATTTCATCTCAATCGAATAATAAATGCGACCTGCATTTTGTTCACAAGAATACATGGATTGTCTCAGAAAGTGATTACCTGAATATTCTCAAAAGTAACTATGGGTCTATCTCGCTTTCTTCTCCACGTTACAAACATAAACATAAAGATATTTCCTTTATTTTTGCAGCTGATAGAAAAACTTCTTATTGAAATGGCCAAATATCGACAAGAGGTACATGAAGTTCGATTTGAATTAATTCTTAAACAACATGCTGAGGCCAATTTAAGAGAGGTAAGACTTTCATACAAAAACTCGAAAAAAATCCAAAAATCAACAAAAAAATATCCAAATTTTTTATTCTTCAGAAATTATCCAAAATCCAAGACCTAGGCAATGGATTGACAATGAAAAGTTTTGAGGGTCTGCACAATGAAACACAAATTTTAGATCACAAGATTGAAGGTAAATTAAAACATCATAATTTTTATAACATTTTAATTCTCCCCCTTCCCCCACGTGCTGTAGAACGCAACATCGAATTGCGAAAGCTACATGAACGCCTGCAAAGAGACATTCATGCCATGGCCCATTACAAGGAGCAGCAGAAAATGTCACGCAACTCTATGATGGCCCAACGTTTGGCTATGGGCGAATTGTTAGAGGAAAAACAACAACTACGGCAACGTATCTATGAATTACGAATGAAACGTAACAGAATCAAAAAACAACTGCAAGAATTAAGTTTTGAAAGTGGTCTCTTAGACAAGCCGTCTTTGATGCTGGACTATGATGAGACACATAATATGATTGTACAACAGCGCGACACTATAAATTGCCTACAGAAAAAAATCAGGGACCTGGAAAGGAAAATCAAAAAAAAATTGAAAAGAGTGTGGTGAAGAGAAGGTATTCCTAAGAGGAGAATGAATTTTAATAGAGATTTTATTTTTTTAAGGGTTATTAATTGTATTCATTATGGTTTCCGATGTAGCCACAGTGTGACAATAAAGATAGGATTTTTTCCTATGAATATTACGTCAAAGCTACAAATTGCAAAAACACTATCTCAGATTTCTATTGTTTAATTTTCATTGGGGGTTCTTCAACTATTTTTAAGGGATTTTCCCATAGAAAATAAATGAAATGTCCCTCTTAGGACTTCTATTGTATTCTTCTAAAGTCATTCATTAATTCAATTGCTTCTTACAATTGGGTACAACTATGCCTTTTTATACCCTCCACCATACTATGGAGGGTATATTAACTTTGTCATTCCGTTTGTAACTCCTCGAAATACTCATGTCAGACCCAACAAAGTATATATATTCTTGATCAGCGTAAAATTCTAAGTCGATTTAGCGATGTCCGTCTGTCTGTCTGTCTGTCTGTTGTAATCACGCTATCTTTCGAATGAATTGAGATAGATGGCAAAAATTTTGCACACATGTTTATTTTTCCAGTAGGCAGGTTAAGTTCGTAAATGGGTCATGTAGGTCCACGTTTTCATATAGCTCCCATATAACGGTAACCCCCCTATATTCGGTATTTTGATGATTTTAGCGACAATATTCACCGGAATTGTTTCAAATTTGGTATTTGAAGTTCCAAATGGATACTACACCCTAAGATAGAAAATTGTCTGTGCAAGTCTATGTCTTCGCATAGCCCCCATATAACGGTACCTCCCGATATTCGGTATTTTGATGATTTTAGCGACATTATTCACGGGAATTGTTTCAAATCTGGTATTTGAAGTTCGCAATGGATACTACACCCTAAGACAGAGAATTGTCTTTGCAGGTTCACGTCTTCGTATAGCCCCAATATAACGGTACCTCCCTATATTCGGTATTTTGATGATTTTAGCGACGTTATTCACCGGAATTGTTTAAAATTTGGTATTTGAAGTTCCAAATGGATACTACACCCTAAGACTGAAAATTGTCTGTGCAGGTCCACGTCTTCGTATAGCCCCCATATAACGGCACCTCGCTATGTTCGGTATTTTGATGATTTTAGCGACATTATTAACCGGAATTGTTTAAAATTTGGTATCTGAAGTTCGTTATGGGAACTACAGTCTGTGACAGAAAATTGTCGGTGCGGGTCCAGTTTCGAATCTGAATATGATAATGGCTTATGACAAACAATGCATATGCATGTCCAAGTCGTATAGACCCCAATATAACCGCTATATTCGGTATTTTTAAAATTTTAACAGAATTTTTTAAGGATTTTATTTTTTGAAAATTTCCAAATTCGTTGCAAATGGTGGAGGGTATGAAAAGTTCGGCCCGGCCAAACTTACTGTTTTTTAACTTGTTTATTTTTAAAGCCTTTGTGTGAAATATTATTTCATGGGTGCCTGAAAGTATGCTTCAAAAGGATTCATATGAAAATAAATTATTTATCAAAAAATTTGTAGTTCTGCAGAAAAGACAAAAACTCTTTGTCGAGAAAAAAAAACGGAGAAAGTAAGAGAGAGAAAACCAGTAAAGAAAGTCTTAAAGTCCGGCGGGGTCAACTTTATGATACCCTACACCACTTTGCTAATTTAGTACAACTCCACATAACAATTCAAAGTTTTTATGGGAGAATTCAATCATACACGCTATGATTATAATTATAATTTAAAGTTCAAAGAACTAAATATGCCAAAAGCATTTGTATTTTTTAAATTCGGACTTTTATTGCCCATTGCCCAAGATATTTCTGAGCTGTATTTGATATATTTTCCTGAATATCGTTGTTACGGAGTGCATATTACGGCTGTGGGTAACAAATATAACAAATCTGATGAACAATATATATGGGAGCTATAGCCATATCTGAACCGATCTTCACCAAATTTGACGTACTACCTGCTAGACTCAATTCGGTCGTAAGTGCCACATTTCATCCCATTTGGGCAAATATTAGACATTTGGTGTACAATAAAAGGTAAATCGGACGAAGTGATATATGGGAGATATATCCAAATCCGAACCGATCTCGATAAAATTTAGCAAAGGTATTTCTGAGCTGTATTTGATATATTTCCCCAAATATTGTTTTTACAGAGTGCATATTACGGCTGCGGAGGACTAAAATAACAAATCAGATGAACAGTATATATTGGAGCTATAGCTATATCTGAACCGATTTCGATCAAATTTGGCATACCTATTTTAAGGCCTAATTTGTTGGAATGTGCAAAATTACATACTATTCGGGCTGATATTACACGTTTGGTGCACAATAAAATGCAAATCGGACGAAGATATATATGGGAGCTATATCTAAATTTTTACCGATTATCTTCAATTTCAATAGGGTCCGTTCTTGGGCAAAACAAATGATTTGTGCAAAATTTCACAAAAATACATGGACAGACGGACGGACAGACGAACGGACATGCATAAATCTTCAAAGAAAAGCGTATTGTCTTTTGATATAGAAGATTAAACAATCTACTACAACCGACCTTCAGAGGTCTTCTCCGATATAATACTATGACGTCCTCTCATTCAAAAGACCACTAGGCATTCTCCTATAGATGACCACTTGGTCTACGGTTGTAGAATATCATTAAATATTATCCGATGGAAGACCACCAGGTCTTCTCCTATAGAAGACCCCGAGGTCTTCTCCGATAGATGACCACTAGGTCTTCTACTATAGAAAACCAATAGGTCTTTTACTCTATAGAAGACCAATAGATCTTCTGTTTGGAAGACCGCTAGGACTTCTGGTATAGCAGATCAGGTCATCTGGTGTAGAAGACTAGATCTTCTGGTATAGAAGACCACGAGGTCTTGTACTATGCAAGACCACTAGTTCTTCTAGTATGGTACTGGTACTGAAGTCCACTAGGTCTCCTTCTGTAGAAGACTACTAGGTCTTTTACGATGCAAGACCACTAGGTCTTCTATGCTGGTCCTATAGAGTACCAGGAGGTCTTGTACTATAGAATACCAAGAGGTATTCTGCAAAGAAGCACACCAAGTCTTCTGCAATAGAAGCACACCAGGTCTTCTACAAAAGAAGCACACGAGGTCTTCCGCAATAGAAGTACACGAGGTCTTCTGAAAAAGAAACCACGAGGGCTTCAACAGTAGATGACAACGAGCTCTTCTTCTATAGAAGACAACGAAGTATTTTTCTATAAAAGACCACGATATCTTCTCCGGTAGAAGACCATGGAAGATATCGAGGTCTTCTTCTATAAAAAAAATCCCATGGTCTTCTATAGAACACTAAAAAATCTCATATTTTTTAGAATACCAGATGTTCAAGTTTGAAAGTTCACACATATTTTCATTGAAGACCTGAACATTTTTCAGTGCCAGGCTACTGTGTTTTTTCTACAGAGACATAAAAATTTGTCTTCTATAGAATACCATAAGACCTTTTTCTTCTTAAGTAGGCTTTGAGTCTCCTTTCAAAAAATATATATTTAATTGTTTTATTTTATAAGAAGTCAACGGCTTGGAAGACTCTTGGGTCTCTTTATTTTAATACCTCTTTTTGAAACAGGGAATCCATCGATATCAACTTAATCTTATTACTCTTAGTAAAAATGCCACCAAAAACAAAGGCAAAGTTCGGTAAGGAAATACCAAAGAAACTTAAAAAGAAAATGGCGCCCAAGGAAAAAGGAAATGTAAAAGCAAAAGAAAATAAAAACAAAAGCAAAATAGGAAAGGAAAAGGGAACTGCATCCGCTACCAAAACAGATCTTGTCCCCACCACTCAAAAATCCCAGACCACTGGCGAGGAGCTCAATAAAAATGCCGCTTCGGAGCGAGAAAATAGAAAGAGATCCAGCGAGGAGTCCTTACTCTCTGCTAATGAAGATATTCCCACCAAGCAAGCTACACCTGCCAAGAAGCTACGTCTAACCGAAATCAATCCCTTGGAAAAGGCCATTGCAGAAGTGGTAATGGAAGGTGATGGAAGTTCAGAATCCACATTTATTGAGCCCAGTCCCCAGAGTTCCATGGAATCGTTCATTACAAATGCTGAAAAGTTTCTAGAACTACCCGAAATTTCCGATGAAGAAGATAGTCAAGGTTCCAAAGATGACGAATTGGAATATTTAAAGCAGAAGGAATTGGAACTTACCCCAGACTTTTTTGAAAATTTTCAAAATGTCCCCGATGTGGAGGATGTATCTTTAGACTCTGTGGTGGATGTGGCAAAAGTGAAACACAAAGCTAAGGATCAATCGGGTCGTTTAGATTTGGGAACATTTGTTAATCCTTTGACGGGTGAAATTAGTTCTTCCTCCAAGGAATCCGTGAAAATCACAATAGAAGAACCCAAGGAAGTGGTGAAAACCAAGGCAGATATTCCCGGAGTCGAAGAAGAGGACGATGTGGAGGACATGGAACAGATATCCATCGATATACCCATTTTATCAGATCAAGAGGCAGAAGATGAGGCTAAAAAAGTGGCCGATGAGGAAGATACCTTCAATCAATTTTTAGAATTGGAAACCCAAGGACCTACGGTGACGGAGGAAGAAATCGATGTTGAGGCCTTGGCAAGGGCCGAAGCTGAGCGCCAACTTCGCGCTCAGACAATCGAATTTGTTTATGATCTAATTTCTCGGGCCGTCGACAAAGCAGAATATGTTGACCCAAAGGTAATTCTTCGACAAAATCTCGACAAACGTAAACTCATGAAAGAACTGCAAGAAAAGTTGTCGCTTTTGGAAGTGGAAAAGAGAGGACAACAATTTCTAAATCGTAAATGTGTTGAATATTTTCGACGCAAACGTTCATTCCGCCCGATTTTGGATGATAATCCCAAAATGTTACATCAGGAAATAAGAAAATATCAGGCAGCTGTGAATAATTTGGATAAATGGTTAATACGGGAGCAGGAGGCGAAGTCCTTAACGGAAAATAATTTACAAACTCTAAACATGGAATTGAATATTACACGGCAGAGGTCAGAGGATGAAATCAGCAATTTACAGAATACGCTTCGCAGGGCATTGAAGAGAGAAAATTTCGATAAACTTCAAGTGGTTGTGGAGAATTCGTTGGCAAAAATGCAGACAGTGAGAGGAGAAATTGCAAAAGTCAGATTTCAATTGATCCAGAAGCAACATGATATGGCAACACTGGTCGAGGTAAGTATCAGTTTTTTTCTCTTTACTTTTTCAATGGTAAAACTAAGAAGTTAAACAGTATCAGTTTCGCGTTTTATAAGCTCCATAGATACTCAAAATGTTGACCCATTGTGGGGGTACCAGATAGAATGCGCCGATATATCCCATTTTAATAGCTCATGTGTTAGTAGAAATAATGGGATGCGTGTAATGTGAAGAAAACCAGAAAATTATTTCGGATTTTACAATCGTTTTTTGTCATTCAAAACTTTGACCCTTTGTGGGGCAGGTACCTGAAAGAACGGTTCGATCTCTACCATCTTTATAACAGATCTGGTGTTTATGAAAATATTGAGATATACCTAGTCTGAATGGAATCTAAAAAAAATTTTCACCTTTTTTGGGGAAGGTACCAGAAGGAGTAAACCGATATATCCCATCTTTACACTAGACCATGGCTTAATAAAAATATTGTGATGTGTGTAATGTCAAGAGAACCGAATGCTTATTTCGGATTTTATGATCGTTTTTGTTATTCAAAATGTTGATGGAAATATTCAGATTTGCCAAGTCTAAATGGAATCGGATGTTAATTTTGCGTTTTATATTCAAAATTGCAACCTTTTGTGGAGAGGTACCAGAGGGAGTGGATCGATATATTGTATCTTAGCGAGCCACCAGATCTTGAGTGTGTGAAATTTTAAGACAATCCGATTCTTAGATCACATTTTTTAATAGTTGTAATTATTCAAAATTTTGTGGAGAACTTGACGGAGTGGGCCGACATTATCCATTTTTCACCTGACCGAGAACTGAGGCAAATATTACGATTTGCAAAGTTTGGTAAAAATCTTATTATTGCATCTCTTTCTGTGCAGAAAATATTGTTTTTGAACATTTCGACCTTTTGTGGGGAGGTACCAGAAGGAGTGGGCCGATGTATTCTATCTTAGCACCAGATCTTGGGTTAATAGAATTATTGGGATGTGTGAAATTTGAAGACAATCTGATTCTTACATCACATTTTAGAAGAGTTGTAATTATTCAAAATTTTGATGGAGTTGACCGATATCCTTCGCACCTGACCTAGCACTGACACAAATATTAGGATTTTCAAAGTTGGAGCAAAATCGGCTTATCGTTTCTCTTTCTATACAGAAAATATTTTTTTTTAAATTCGACCTTTTGTGGGGGATGTACCAGAAGGAGTAGACCGATTTTGCCCATCTCCTAACTCGATCTAAGTTTGACAAAAATATTACGGTGTACCAAGTTTGAACCAAATCGGATACTCCCTTCGAGAGTTATCGGGCGCACCAGCCGGCCAGCCAACCAGACAGATGGACGGACATCGCTAGATTGACTCCAAATGTCCTGAAACGGATTTGGTCCAAAGAGACCTTGGGTCTAAAACCGTTATTTCGACTAGGCACGTTTTGACCGTATCAAATGATATATGTGTACCCTCTCTAACCATATGACTGAGGGTATAATTACCGTCCTCTCTCAGAAAGAAGTTGTAGGACAATTCCTGCAGGAAGGGTAACCAAACACAACTATTTTGTCTGATAGAGCATTTACTGAAGTGAAAATTTCGAACACGCCTAGTAAGTATTTTATGAGTTGTATGTATTGGAAATCTTCTACAGACCTCAAGTGTATTGAATAAATATCATTTTTGATTAGCGATATTAATGAAAGGATGCATATTTTCCTTTCTTGCTTTTGATGTACATTTTCCTTTCTAGCAACTACGCGATCTGGAAGATCTTGGCAATGGGCTGACAATGCGTAACTTTGAGACGATTCAAACCGAAACCCAGGCTTTGGGAAAGAAAATAGAAGGTAAACAAATTATAATTGTAGAAATAGTAGAATACCAATTTTTGGACAAATCAGTGAAAAATGTGGCAGAAACCATCAAAATATCGAATATTGGGAGGTACCGTTATATGTGGGCTATACCAAATCATGGACCCATACATGCAATGTTTCGCCACCGGACCTGGAACCCATTCTGACCAACAAATACCAATTTTTAGACAAATCTGTGAAAAAATGTGACAAAAAATATTAAAATACCGAATATTGGGAGGTACCTTTATATGGGGGCCATACCAAAACGTGGACCTACACATGCAATGTTTTGCCACACGCACAGGGACCCGTTATGACCTACAAATACAAATTTTCAGACAAATCCGTGAAAAATGTGGTAAATCATCAAAATACCGAATATCGGGAGGTACCGTTATATGGGGACTATGTGGGCAGTATCGTGATTTCAACAGACAGACGGGCATCGTTAAATCGACTTAGAATTTTATGCTGGTTATGAGTATATATACTTTATGGGGTCTACGACGAATATTTAAGGATGTTACAAACGGAATGACAATGTTAATATACCCTCCTTTCCAATGTAGAGGGTATAAAAAGGTAACTTTGTTAAATTTAAGTAAATAGAAACAAGTAAACAAGTAGATAAGTTCAGCCGGACCGAACTTTTAATACCCTCCACCATTTGGAAGGAAGTTGAAGAATTTAAAAAAAATCGAAAACTATCACTTAAATGAAAACCGTCATATGGGGGCTATACGAAGACGTGGACCTGCATACGAAATTTTTTGCCATAATACCGAATATCGGGAGATACCGTTATATTATACGAAGAACCTGCACACAGCAATTTTTGTCATAGGCTGTTGTAGTACCCATTACGAACTTCAAATACGAAATTTGAAATAATTCCTGTTAATAATGTCGCTAAAATCAGTAAAATATCGAATATCGGGAGGTACCGGTAAAATGGGGGCTATACGAAGGTCTGGACCTGCATACAAAAATTTTTGTCATAGGCTGTAGTACCCATTACGAACTTCAAATACGACATTTGAAGTAATTCCGGTTAATAATATCGCTAAAATCATGAAAACACCGAATATCGGGAGGTACCGTTATTTGGGGGCTACACGAAAATGTGTTCCGACATGGCCAACCGTGAACCGACGTAACCTACTTACTGGTAAACAATGCATGAATGCAAAATTGTAGCCTTCTAAATCAGTTTGTTCGAAAGATAGCGTGATTACAACAGACAGACCGACATCGCTAGATCGTCTTAGAACGCTGATCCAGAATATATATACTTTGTAGGGTCTATTATAAATATTTCGAGGAGTTCCAAGCGGAATGACAAAGTACCCTCCATAGAATGGGGGAGGGTATAAAAAGGTTGCCATCTATGATTTATGTTATTGTAGAATAAAGAAGGCAAAGTCAGACAATCACTTGTTTACACTTGTTTTTTAATTGTTCATGTGACAAACATCTAATTTTCAAAATCTATATTTACAATTGTATACGCGCAAATCAGAAATGGGAAACTGTTTTCTATGTAGAAAATGCTGAGGTGGTTATGCTTATATAAATGCCTTTACTTTCTTAATTTTACCATGGAATTAACAATGAAATGCTGTCAAATGTAACATTTTGAATAATAAATAAACACACCAGTATTACTTTTCGAAGTCACCTTCTTAATTGTACCGTCCAAATAAGGCTGGAGATACATAAAGCGCATATTTGGCTTGCTTAAGTTATCGCCTGGCTTCTTCGTAGATGAACAAAGGAGTTTTAGGTTGACCTAGTTCAATTTTGGGCCTAGTCTCCTTTGTTCATTTCCGAAGAAGCCAGCCGATGTCTTAAGCCAGCCAAATAAGCGCTTTATGTATTCCCAGCTTAAGCAGCAAATTTTAAATGCTATGAGTCGCTTTATTTTATAAAAGTTTTTTATTCATATTATAAATGCTACAATTTCGCAAATTAATAAATGTATTTATCCTCCTTCCTCCCCCCATAGAACGCAACACGGAACTCAATAAGTTACGTTATCGTTGCCACGGCGATATTCATCGACAGGCCCACCTAAAAGAGAAGCAGAAAATGCTGCACGAAACTATCAACTTTCAGCGTCAATATCTCGCCGAACTTCAACTTGAAAAGCAACGCCTACGGGAAATTGTGTTTCAATTGAAAATTGAACGATGTCGTTTACGAAAAGAATCCCAAGATATAAGTTTTCAATCGGGACTATTAGATAAACCAATTTTGATGAAAGATTTCGATGCAACCGTTGAATATTTGGAAGAGTTGCAAGAACGTGTAGCACAAGAGAAAATTGCGATCAGTGAATTGAATGAAAAAATTACGAGTGTGGAAAAATCTTGTTCGTAAAGCGGATATTAAGAGGGGTTATGTCAGTTTGTTGATTGATTTTTATTAAAATAAATACAAAATTTAGTATAATTTCGTCGGAGATCCAAATTCAGCTGTATTTCGGATTTTCTCCTCTTAAAAACAATATAATAGTGCATGGTGCAATAAGGAGCTCATGGTAGAAGAATGCAGGTAGTCGCATCGGCATAGCTGCTGGGACAATGAACTATCAAACCAATTTTGGAATTGCATTTTTTTAGTGAAAAACTATTCAAATTTGTAAAAAATGTTAAAAATACATACCATAAGAACCTCCGATTTACGTCGTATAGGAAAACATATACAAATCTACTTATTAAAAATAACATTTAAAACCTTAAAACCAAGCGTTGTATTCTTCTACCATGCAGGAGATGAAACATTCTTGTTCATTTTACTTAAATACAGCATTGCGGCCATTCCGCTTTCTGTCAGATTTCTTCAAAATGACATTCAAATAGTGTCTCCCATGTTTTTGATATTTTCCTTCATTTTCAAAAAGAACTAAAAATCGCGAAAAAAATTAAATTACATCAGATGCTTCATCAAATCTGTTTCATAATTCCCTTCCATGGCAGAACTGTTAAAATTCTTCTATGCACGAGAAGAAATAAACATGGTAGAAGAAAATAGGTAGACGCATCGACACAGTGCTGGGACCAATTTCGGATTTGAAAATGTTGAATGAAAAATTATTTAAATTTGTAAAAACTGTTGGAAAACGCGTATTATAATAACCTCCGAATGACGTCGTATAAGAAAACATATAAGAATCTACTTATATTAAAAAAAAAACATTTACAATTTTTTGACATATCAATGTTTCCAAGCGTTGATGCATCTACCTATATTCTTCTACCATGGAAATAAGCACCTTAGCTTATTATACCGTCTACCTTAGAAAGAGGGGTAGCTGCACCCCCCGATATTCGGCATTTTTATAGTTTAAGCCACAGATTTCCTCCATTTTGTCTAAAAACTAGTATTTGTACTTTGTTATGGGTTGTAGCTCCGGTAGCGGAACTTTGTATACAAAGGTCTACGTTTCCGTATAGCCCCCATATTGGTATTTGTAGGTCATAATGGGTTTTAGCTCCGGTGGCGAAACATTGTATGTATAGGTCCACGTTTTTGTATAGCCCCATATAATGGCATCTCCCGATATTTGGTATTTTGATGATTTTTGCCATATTTTCCCACGAATTTGTCTAAAAATTAGTATTTGAAGTTCACAATGGTTTCTAGCTGAGGTGGCAGATCATTGAATATTTAGGCCCATGTTTTTCTATTGCGCGCATATAACGGTACCCACCGATATTCGGTATTTTTGATAATCCTAGCCACATTGACCCACGAAATTGTTTCAAGTTTGGTATTTTAGAAGATTTGTTAGATGACAATCCTTGAAGTATGACATTGTCTATGGAGGTTCCCGTTTTGGTATTGCCCAATATAACGGCCTAATCCACTGTATGGTTTTTGAAAGTTTAACAGCATTATCCAAACAATTTTGCTGCTTTTTGTAGCTTAAAGTGGAACACGTTTGAAATGACAATTTTGGCCCCGCCGAACTTAATGTTTTTTACTAGTTTTCATTGATTTTGAAAATATTTTTATTTTCTTCAACAATAAATACCAACAAAGGAATGACATGCTCAGAAAAAAATGTAATAAGCTGGTAGTTCTACCCATGGTAAATACAGCCCTAAGGCTATGCCTGCTTCCTGTCAGAATTTTTAAAAATTATATGCAAAATTTGCTTTTATTTATTTGACATTTCAATTGTCATTTTTAAATGGAGTTAAATAGCGTTAAAATTAATAAATTCCAGGTATTTTTTCAAAAATTTGATTCAAAATGCTCAATCTTACAATTTCATAGCTAAACTGGTTAACAGGTTTAAAGCACGAGCCGCAATTTATGTGTCTTCCAATCATTGGTTTTGAAAATATTTTGTTTTCATTTTTCAAAACAATAAATGCATGCAAAAAATTGGCAGAAGTCGGCCATGCTTAGGAAAATATTGCAATCAGCTCGTAGCTCTACCTCATCTTTTTATTGTGCCATGGTTCCACCATTCCTTTTTTTTTTGTAACTAATCGTTATATGTTTGTTTTATTATGTTTGATTATTTAATTACTTATTTTCTTAAATACTTATTTACTATATTATTTAATAAAATATATTTTATTTAGTTATAACAATAACATATACATTATACATATATTAGGTTATTATTTTATTTATTTAATTATTTATTATTTTATTTATTTATTTTACTTTTTAAATGAAATGAACTATGCATCAATTTTTATGTATTTTCATACTTTTCTTCTATTTTTTTTATTTCTAATTATTACTATATTTATTATTAAAACGTTTTTATTTTTATATTGATATGTCGGCTCGAGCTAATTTAATACAGTAATAATCAATTTCTTCAGTGTATTTCATCCATTTGATAGCTCATATTCACCACCAAACAAAATGTTACCATTGTTTCCCCACAACAATGTGGCAACCCCCGATTTATCCACAGCCAAACAGCTGTTTTGCACTTTGTTGGCCGCATTTGAAGTTTTCACTGGAGAAGAAGTTGAAGTGTTTTTTCTTTTAAAAAGTTGAAAAGTGCATTTTTTTGTTATCTAAATACAAATTTAAAGGTGAATAAATCAATTATTGTTAAGAAATATTCAATAAAATATTTTAGTTTAATAGTAAACCCCTCTTACTGCCTTTAAGAATCTGTACAAGTTTCAACCGGGAAATAATGGTGGTGTGCAAAATAAAATATGCCAATGCATGCATTTTGTGCCATTGGCAAGCATGAAATTGCTGTGCGACAAACGAAAAAATGCAATATGATATCATCTTGAGTGCAATAAAATCGAAATTGCATACCTAATTATATGGCTAGTGAGATAAGTTTTATAACAAAAGAAGTAAATTGTTTTGCATTCTAGATGTTTCTGGAATGATTTGCAAAAAAAAAACATATTGTTGTGTATTGTCCCCCACTAGAATAATATGAACAAACATACAATATAACCTCACTGTATGAAATGAAGAAGGAGGTCGCCCAAAGAATCTAACCGTGGCAAAACACGATTGGAAGAACTATTGTCACATTCCATTTGAGTTTGGGACTTCCTTTAAGTTTCTGTTCCGCAAATAAAGTGTGACTCAAGCCTTTCGAATGAAGATTTTGTTGGTGTAATGGTAGATGATTGTGATATAGGAAAAAAAGCTTAAATGCCGATTAACCGCAGAATAAAATGTTTTCCAAGGATAGACGACTGAAGACTGGATATCGATATAGGTCTCTTATTTTAGAAGAAAATACCTCGGAACTAATTAAAACCATATGCCACAATGCATGTCTTATGAGAGAAGATTTTCCGTAGCAATAACAAGTAAAAAGACGGCCGGGGCGAACTTCTAATACCTTCCACTTTAAACTACAAACTCCAGTAAAATTGGTGGGAGTTAGAGCAGCTATGCAGTTAGAGTTTTCAAAAAACAATACAGTGGTTGGAACTGTTATATGGGATTCATGCCAAAACGAGAGCCTATATAGACAATTTTATACTACAAAGGTTGTAATCTATTGCGAGTCTTAAATACCAAATTTGACATATTTTCGTGGATAAATGTGACTAGTTGTATGAACCGTTGTATGGAAACCGTTGACCAATATCGACAATATTTTGTCATTGGTTGTAGAACCCGGAACTATATGTACAATGTTCCTCTATCAGAGCTTGAACCCAATACGAACTACAAATACCAATCCGACCAATATATCTTATATTCAATACCAACAATCCTAGATACAATAAAATCTACTGTGCTAGATTTTAAAGCTCTACGTCAAATAATGTGGACCGTATCCTAATTTAACAGACAGACAGACGACATCATTAAGTCGACTTAGAATTTAATGCTGATCATGAGGATATATGTATACTTTATGAGGCTTATGACGTTTTACAAACAGAATGACAAATTTAATATACACTACTTTCCCAGGTGGAGGGTATAACAAAACCTTGGAGACCTTCTTGTATCTTAAAAGGTGTATTTTTAATAGTCTTTTACAGTTAAAAGCTTGAATTATATATCAGCAACCTCGAACATTTGTTTAAACTGATGGGAATGGCCGTCCTCAGGTGGCGAGGAAGCACCTATGTCTGTTGCATGGTGTCAAAAGTGAGCAAAGATCTTTCATAGCAACAATATGGAAGAACTTAAAAGTCGTCCATAAAATGTTTAATAACTCAAAACCTATTTGTATTACTATGTACGGTTTAAGAACTTTTTAGATATCTTGATTAACACTATGTCGGATGTCATTTAAATAACTATTAAAGATCTCAAAGGTCTTATATAACATTATGGAAGGCATCAGCGTTAATATACGTTGGATACCCTCTTCATGAGTTTTCTATGGTAGTATAAAATACATCAATAGTTTTCAACAATAATTTGGAAGACTTTAAATATCTTAAGCAGGTATTGTGTTTCTTCTGTAGTAATGTGAAAGACTTCGGGACTGTTTCACTTAATCTATTATTATTAGAATATAGAAGATCTGATGGTATCATGGTAACACACAAGTTTTACTATACCCACATGGATAGCTCAAAGGTCCAGTATACTACTATGGAAGCCCTCGAAATCCTTCTGTGCAAATATGGAACACTCCAAAGATCTGTTCAAATTATATCGAGCATATCAAAGGTCGCCCAATTCCCACAAAACACACAAGGAAGTAATGAGCAGTAGGCTTTCTGCAGGGATATTTAAGGCATCGAAACATTTTTATAGTAGTAAAGTAGAAGTATAGTAGCAGAACTCTTATATAGTTAAATGTAACCACGTCTGTGAAAAACGAAAATGATCTCAGGGCGTTAAATCGTAAGCAAAAATTTCTGTCACAGGCTGTAGTTCTCATTAGGAATTTCAAATACGAAATTAGAAGCAATTTCGGTGAATAAAGTCGCTAAAATCGGGAGGTACCAATATTTAGAGGCTATACGACGACCTGGACCTACATAGACAATTTTCTGTCATAGATTGTAGTACCTATTAGAAAATTCAAACAGGAAATATCAAACAATTCCGAATAATAATGTCGCCAAAAACATCAAAATATCAAATCTAGGGATGTACAGACGTGGACCTATATAGCCCATTTTCAATAACAAAAGTCCTGCAAACCAAACACACATTTGAATAAAATTTTATCAACCTATTTCAATTCGTTCGGAAGCTAGTGTGATTTCTACAGACGGACGGTAATCGCTAAATCGACATAGAAATTTATGCTGATCAAGAATATATATTTACTTTGTGGGGTCTAAAACGTATATTTCGAGGTGTTACAAACGGAATGACAAACTTAATATACCATCAATACTATGGAGGAGGGTATAAAAAGGGGGCAAAGTTTCAATGTAAAAACTCGATTTTTGGCCAAATCGGCTACCCTCTATATCTCTTAAACTTGGAAGTTTCATTATTTTTGAGAAGAGTTTATCAACGAAGACAGGCAGACAGACGAGCCAATGGACATACATTTTACAGGTCTTGAAAACAGAATTACAAATTCAATATACCCTCCATTTTATGATAGAGGAAATACGAATTACAATTATCCAATCTAGTAGTTATATTTGCGAGTAGGGTTATGGAGCGCTTCCTCTCGCAAATTTGAATTATGGAGTATAAGTACTCCGTCCGTTTAGTATATAAGTATTAAAAAACTTGGTGTTAAAAAGTTTGCAATTCGTGTTTATAAATGAAGAGTGTTTAAACATGGTACGTTAATGAAAAAAGGAAGAACTTGACATGTGCATGATAACACCTATTTGGATAACAAACAAACAAAAAATATATAACTACACTTCCTTAAAATAGTTTTCAAAATTTCTGTAAATCCCATTTAAGCAATTGGAAGTCACTACTATTTTTTCCTACATTTACAGTTCGCAAGCCAAAAAAATGGAGAGACAGCCAAAAAATCTACAAGACCTGCTCAAATTTGCCATTCGTTATCAGACAAACGAAGATTGTGGCCCGTCCAAATATGATGAAATGGATCCGGAGAAAAAGGAATTTTTAGAAAAGGTACTCAAATCCATGACTGTCGATGTTATGGATGAATTGGCAAAGGCGATACAAATCTTGGAGGATCCCGCTACCAGTGATGATGATAAAGTTGATGCACTCGACGTCGTTCGTGACTACATTGACAATATGGATTTTGCAAATAGTTTTGTAAAACTTGGCGGAACAGATATTCTTATAAAATGTATCAAAAGCGATGTAGTGGCATTGCGAACAAATGCCATCAAAGTGCTGGCCGAAATGTCTCAAAACAATGTCTACTGTCAACAGCATTTTGTTGAAAACAACATTGTGGAACTTTTGATATCCTATCTGCAGGATAAGGATCAAGAAGTTGTGGCCAGTTCGTTGTATGCCCTATCATCGCTAATGCAAAATTATGAACCGGCCACATTGGAGTTCAGCAAACATGGTGGAATTGTTGGAGTTCAAAATTGTTTAAGTAGCCTGAATTCAAGGGTGTTTGTTAAGTCCTGTTTTTTGATTTCATCAATTTCCGCACAATTTCCTAAAATCTGTGAGGAATTTGTCAAAGGTAACACATTTGCAAAATTGTGCGAAAACTTGGAATGTGTCGGTGATTTTGATATAAAAATTGAGGCATTATTAAATGCCATGGCCACATTGACAGATAGTGGAAGTTTTGATGCAAAATCGGTGGCCAGCAACGATGTCACTCCAGTTTTGGAGAATATGTTGAAAAATATCAAAGGACTGCCACAGTGCGAAGAAATGGAAATGTATGCTCGAAAAATACAAGAGAAATTGAGATAAATTTCACTTGCATTGGAATTGGATTTCTAGATTGTGTCTAGAAATGAATTCTATCGAAATATAAGTAATAAATTTAGTAATGTAAGTTTCTAATTATAATAACCAATTTAAAATTCATATTTAATATGGAATAAATTAACCTACACAAATCATTAAGAGAAATACATAATGTCTTTTATTGCAAAGTAACGCAAACCTGGTACTTAGAATTAACTCCCAAAAGGATATTGGGTCTTTAGCGGCCCATACAAAAATATATTTTTAGCAACATATAACATTAATTATTCTAAGAAGATAATAAAAAATTGAATTTCTAGGCGTACTTTTTGAATCGGTCCAAAAGAAATTATATATTGAAAAGTCGTCTCAATTTAGTTTTCTTATATTTTTAAGGCGAAATCATACATACCAATTACAGAATCTATATTTGAGGTCTGAGGCACCTTAACTAAATAATAATATAACTAGTAATATTCACATACTATTTTAATTTGTATAAGCGCAAAAAAGTAACATATTAGGATTTTTTATTTTTTAACACGTAAGAAAAGGTCAAAAGTCAGGCGGGCCGACTATATGATATCCTACGGAGACTTTTGTATCTACATGATATGACATCGATAAGAATTATATTAAAAACTATTTCTTGGAGCAATAGATAAAACTAATCGAGTTTCAGCAAATGGAAAAACTCGGTTGAATATGAAAAAAATCTATCCAATTTGGGCTGAAATTACTTATATGGTGGACAATAACCGTAAAATCAGGTAATAAAAATCAGAACCGATCTCGATAAAATTTGGCAGAGGTATTTTCGAGCTGTATTTGATGTCCGGTATAAAAAATCCTTGTTTCGGAGTGCATATTACGCATGTGAGGGACTTTAATAACAAATCGAATAATTCTGATCTGATTTTCACCAAAATTTGAAGTACTTGCTTCTGGACTGAATTCCGTCGGAAGTGCCAATATGTAGTGCATTTGGGATGATATTAGCCATTTGGTGCACAATACACCCGAAATTCAATAAATATATATATGGGAGCTATATCCAAATCTGAACCGATCTTGACAATATTTGAGGCACTTATTTCTTAGCTGTATCTGATATCTGGTACAAAAGATAATTGTTGTGGGATGCATATTACGCATATGAGGGACTTAAAACCCCAAATCGGAAAGAACAGCTTTTTGGCAAAATTTAAAGTACTTTTTCCTACGATGAATTCATATTAAACTAAAGATTATTGTTGTGGGAGGCTTTTTACGCATGTGAGGAACTTAAAACCCCAAGTCGGATAAAACATATATATGGGAGCTATACCTATATCTGAACTGATTTTTACTAAATTTGATATACTTGTTTCTAGGATGAATTCAGTCGGAATTGTCAAAATTCAGCCCATTTGGGCTGATTTTAGCCATTTGGTGCACATTTAACCCGAAATCGGTTAAAGATATATATGGGAGCTATATCTAAATTTGAGCAGATTCTCACCAATTTCAATAGGGTTGTCCTTGGACCAAACAAATATTGTTTGGAAAATGTCATCTCAATCGGATAATAAATGTCACCTGCATTTTGTTCACGAAAATACATGGACGGGCGGACTGACATGCATAAATCGACTAAGAAAGTGAAACTATGAAGATCCTCAAAAGTAAATATGGGTCTATCTCGCTTCCTTCTCCACGTTACAAACAAATGCACAAAGATATAATACCCTTACCACAATGTGGTGTGGGGTATAAAAATAATAAAATTTGTTCCCCTCTCCATCCAGGAGATCTGTTGGAGCTGAGCATCTTCGACGTTGGTAAATCCAAACTGTACCACATATTTTTGTGTGTTTTTTTTTTTTATTTTATTTTGAATCGGCTTCACTGTGAGGGGCACAAAATTGGCTTAAGCTTTTTCTTACGAATTCTTGCCACCATCGTCCTTAGTTGGGCAGCAAAACTTTCTCGCAACATTAAACCATGGTGTTTATGGAGTTCCACTACATTTATGATTTCATTTGTAAATTATTGACCAGAATAAGCCAAGGTAGTAAAATATCTGAAAGATGAGTAAAATGGCTCAAAACTAAAGCATTAAAGTATCATACCACCCCTATTCGCCATACCACCCTTTGTTTTTTTTTTAATTTAATAATCCACCCTTGGAAAGTATAAAAGTAATAAATTGGAAAAACAGGCCCGCAAATGACCAACGTTTTTTTTCGTTTTGCAAGAAGTAAGGGGGAAATAGGAAATTTGCGCAAAAGTTTTGTGATTTATGGAATGGTGCTAATAAGTTCAGGCTTGTAGAATATTAAATTGGCTACAGTAAATGAAATTTAATTGGGAAATGGGAGGAATGATGAGATATTAAAGAGTGGAGCTTAAGGAGGCTACGGCAAGTGGGATATGACACTTTTCGCGTTCTGGACATGCTCGCATCCTGGACATACCAATAAGTCGCAATATCTTAAATGTAGGTGATATAATTTGTGATATCATGCCAACTTTTTTGAATTGAGTTACATGACCGTCTGGCCTCAGACGGTTCCAATGTATGAATGCACCGGTGATGGCATATTCTGCCTTACGTTATGATAGGTTAAAGGATGGGCGGTTCTATAAACATCCATTCTACTCGGAGACCTATTGGTCCATTGTGTTCATCTTTATTTAAAGAAGATATGAGAATAGAATAAAGAAAAGAGAAGGAGACGAATAGCAGGTAGTGAAGAAGCGAGAATCTGAATAAAGAGTGGAGAAGTAAGTAGGTTTGTATTCACGGTGGTATCAGCGTGTCGTCCTTAGTCATTTTAGCCTTCTGGCTAACTGAAGAATGACGCTGGCATGAAGTCAGAGAGGAGGGACAAGTTTGGCAGAATTTTCTTACCCAGTAGACTCTGACTCACTCTTATAAGAGTTGGGCATTGGCAGAATAAGCGCTCCACCGTCTCAGTTTCCTCCTCGTCCTGACAAAGCTTGCAGTATTCAGTGTCGTCAAACCCCCCATCTTCCATTTGGATGCCCTGGCTTTTATGTTGCACTGTCCTGTAATTAGGCCCACCACAAACTTCAAGTCCAGCTTCGTCATGGATATGAGCGACCTTGATCTTCTTTCGGATTTCACCGGTCAAATCTTTTTGGAGACATTACTTCCCCTTCCAGTTAGCCAGTTCTGTTGAAATCTCCCAAGATAACGCTTAGGCAGTACTTGTAGCGATGTAGCACATATTGTTACAATCAAGAAGGCAGCCCATATGGTAATAAAGAGTGATTTGTTAAGAGCTTGATAACTTTTTTTTAAAAAAAAAACGCATAAAATTTGCAAAATCTCATCGGTTCTTTATTTGAAACGTTAGATTGGTCCATGACATTTACTTTTTGAAGATAATTTCATTTAAATGTTGACCGCGGCTGCGTCTTAGGTGGTCCATTCGGAAAGTCCAATTTTGGGCAACTTTTTTGAGCATTTCGGCCGGAATAGCCCGAATTTCTTCGGAAATGTTGTCTTCCAAAGCTGGAATAGTTGCTGGCTTATTTCTGTAGACTTTAGACTTGACGTAGCCCCACAAAAAATAGTCTAAAGGCGTCAAATCGCATGATCTTGGTGGCCAACTTACCGGTCCATTTCTTGAGATGAATTGTTCTCCGAAGTTTTCCCTCAAAATGGCCATAGAATCGCGAGCTGTGTGGCATGTAGCGCCATCTTGTTGAAACCACATGTCAACCAAGTTCAGTTCTTCCATTTTTGGCAATAAAAAGTCACAATCGCATTAATTGTTTGCTCACTTGGTCGATTATGTAGACCATAAATCGGACGTAAAGCGCGAAACACATTTCGAACCGAACACTGATTTTGGTAATAAAATTCAATGATTTGCATGCTTTGCTCGTTAGTAAGTCTATTCATGAAGAAATGTCAAAGCATACTGAGCATCTTTCTCTTTGACACCATGTCTGAAATCCCACGTGATCTGTCAAATACTAATGCATGAAAATCCTAACCTAAAAAAAATCACCCTTTATATTGAGGAAAGAAATGAGTTATGAATTGATTCGGGATGGTTCCCAGTCGAATAATCTATCGATTGGTGAGACTATCAAATGTCACTGATAAGTAATTATATAAGCTATTTAAAAAAATCTTCGCCGTGGAGATGGAGCTATGAAGCCGGATACAAGGTATCTAAGGCCGTATGGTCGACAATCTGTGGAAAAATAACATGTTCCCTTCTATCAGTTTGTAGATTAGATATAGGAATTGCGGTAGTAATATTGACTGGCCACTATAGTATCAGATATCAGACCTCAAAAAGAAGTGGATAACGTTCTACTGTATACTATATGCGGATTAAAAAGTGGCGAAGGAGATTAAACATTTAAAATCCACATTTGCTAAATCCATCCACTGGCTAGGGAAGCCACTCCGTTAAAACAACTCTATCAACCTTTCTTTTTTTCTTCTATATTTTCCTTCTATCCAATCTCTAATTCGTCATAGAATGGTCACATTGGATCAAAAGTTTGCCAGTGAATCAACTGCTAACTCCTGTGTAGATGGGCATCCTGAAACCAAACCATGTTTGAGGTTAATAGTAACTGAATTTGAATATCTTCGAAAAGACCTCAGATTTTTTTGATAATTTTTTTCTTTGGTAGTATTCAAGCCCTCAGACAGATAGGCGTTGTAGATATTTAAGCGATCTAAATAACCTATCGAAATTTTTGGAGAGCTAAAATAATTTCAATGTGAATATGGAAGATAAATATGGAACTCCTCAGAGGTCTTCTATAGAGACATGGAAATCAGTAGAAATGCGGAAAACTTTCATAAATATTTAGCATAAAATTCTATGTCGATTTAACGAAGTCCCTTTGTCTGTGAGAACAATTTGTGTTTAGGATGGTTGGTATTGAAAAACAGATATATTGGTCCACATTTTGGAATAGCCGCCATATAACAATACCTCCTGATATTCGGTATTTTGATTTTTTTCCATGGATTTGTCTAAAAATTGGTATTTGTCGGTTATAATGGGTTCAGCTCCGGTGGCGGAACATAGTATGTATAGGTCCACGTTTTTGTTTAGCCCTCATATGATGGCACCTCCCTATTTTCGGTATTTTGATGATTGTTGCCACATTTTTCCATAGATTTGTTT